TGCACCTTCGCGTTGCAAATGTGCTAATGAACTACTTGCAGGCCGCGGGTCATTTGTTTGTTTGGCGAGCAGGTCGTCCTCGGCGGCGCTGGGGCGTGCCGGGCGAGGGCGAGGGCCGGGGGCGTCGCTCCCTGCTGGCGACGCACTCGAAGGGCGCCGCCGGGTCACGTGGCCCCTCGCTAGGTCATGAGCGTCCTTCTCCCATTTACCTTGACGTGGGCGGCGGATGGGCGGCTGGGGGCCCCGGGGGCGGCTGTCGGCTCCCAGGGTAGAGGATATGAGGCGCTGGGGCCCCTAAGCCGAGCTTGACTTCCATACGGTGTTGGGGTCTAGGTGTTGGATCTAGCACACCTGGACGAGCGCTGGCGTGTCGTCTTCATCTGGCCGGCTTCGAGCGGCCCTACACACTTCCCTTGTCACACACTGGCTTGTGCAAAACCTGATTCACCTCAGCACTTCACTGACAACACAAGCACCCGCGGAAATCGGCGATTTTGGCCACAGAACAACGCACACGACCGCCGCGCGCCACTTCTGTCGACGACAAACAGGCGAGTCCACTTTCTCGCGGGGGAGGAGGGAGCAGGCGCCGTTGCCACGTCTCGCCTGCAGACCCCCGCGCACACTATACTAGGCAACGCCGCACATGCACTCCTTCACATATTTCTCATGCTTCTATCTACCACTTGTACATACGAATCACAAACTTGGTGAGGTTGCAATCCTGCCTTTCCTCGACCGAAAACTATATTCTAATTGATACACAGACTGAGCGTTCGCTTGTAAAAGAGATAAAAGCCCTCGCAGGGAGCGGGGTCGGCTTTCAGCGACAGATCTATAAATGAAGTCATCGGCACAGTATATTGAAAATTATATAAATAATTTCATGACACGACCCAACTTTGATATCCCACAACATATATAATCCCATTTGACCGTTTCCTTAACACGTCCACATCTCATTGAAAGAAGAAGGAAACAGGGAGGGACGGAGAGAGAGAGAGAGAGAGAGAGAGANACTTTAAGGGAGATAAAAAGGGAGGGTTTAGTGGAGAGGGAGCTGGGGCGGTCGTTTTAAGGGATAAGAAAGGGAGGGTTTAAAGAAGGGTGAAGGGGACAGAGTCGGTTCGTTTTATCGGGGTCGAAAGATAAAGAGTTCGCTTAGGAAGATAAATGAGTTATTCTAAGGGAGATGATAAGGGTCTTTTTTTAAAGGGGTGGAGGACATGCAAGTTTTTGGGAAGAGAAGAGAACAGGGAGAAGAAAGTCATTTAAAGAGGAGAAGAAGAGAGTTTCGTTAATAGGGAGAAGAGGAAGGTCCTTTTAAGAAGAGAGAAGAAGAAAAAGAAGAAGAAGAGAGAAGAGGAGAGGGGGAGGGAGGGGAGAGAGAAGAGAGAGAGAGAGAGAGAGAGAGGAGAAGAGACGAGGAGAGAGAGAGAGACGAGAGAGGAGGGAGGAGAGAGAGAGAGAAGAAAGAGAGAGAGGAAAGAGAGAGAGAGAGAGAAGAGAGAGAGTAGAGAGAGAGAGAGAGAGAGAGAGAGAGAGACAGACTAGGAGAGAGAAAGAGGAGAGAGAAGAAGAGAAGAGAGAGAAGAGGAGAGAGAGAGAGGAGAGAGGAGAGGAGGAGGAGAGGGAGAGAGAAAGAAGAAGAGCGAGAGAGGGAGAGAGAAAGAGAAGACGGGAGAGAGAGAGAGAGGAGAGAGAGAGAGAGAGAGGGGAGAGAGAGAGAGAGGAGGAAGAGGAGAGAGAGAGAGAGAAGAGGAGGAGAGACAGAGAGAGGGAGAGAGAAGAGAGGGACAAGAGAGAGGAGAAGAGGAGGAGAACGGAGCAGAGAGAGAAGAAGAGCAAGAGAGGAGGAGAGGGAGAGAGAGAGGAGAGGGAGAGAGAGAGAAGATGAGGAGGAAGAGAGGGAGAGAGAAAGGAGGGAGAGAGAAGAGAGAGGGAGAGAGAAGAGAGAAGAGAGAAGAAGAGAGAGAGAAGAGAGAGAGGAGAGAGGAGAGAGAGACGAGCAGAGAGGGAGGAGAGGGAGAAAGAGAGAGAGAGGAGAGAGAGAGAGCGATGGAGAGAAAGAGAGGGAGAGGGAGAGAGGAGAGAGAGGAGAGAGAGGAGAGGGAGAGGGAGAGGGAGAGGGAGGAGAGAGAAGAAGAGAGAGAGAGTGACGAAGAGCGAAGAGGAAGGCAGCGAGAGCGAGGAGAGAGAGGAGGAGAGAGAGAGAGAGAGGAGAGAGGAGAAGAGGAGAACAGAGAGAGAGAGAAGGGGAGAGAAGAGTTACGAAGGAAGTCGCTTTTAGGGAGAAAGATATGCCTTTCATTTGTTTTAAGGGGTGCGAAAGGAGATAAAGGAAGGTGTTTGATTTTAAGGAATAGGGTGAAATGGGAGCTAGGAAATTAGGGAGATACAATCATTTTAAGGGGAATAAGGACAGGAGATGGAATTGTAGGAGTGATTAAGGGAGTGAAAACGGAGGTTGGGGCATTCCTTTTAAAGGGAGGGGAGGGAGGGAGAGAAAGGAGTAGGAAGGAGTCCACTTATAAAGGTAGGGAAAAGGGGGGGGGGTCAGAGTTAGGGAAGAATAGAATTATTAAGGTCGATTTAAAGGATAATGGAAAGGGAAATGCTAGAAGAAGGGTGGAACATTTTAATGGGAATTATAAGGGAGAGGAAATAGTACAGAGGCAGTGTGAAGGGGGGGGGAGGGGGTATGGGTAGTATGTTGGGAGAGTGATTCTATATATATCGGCTCTACTTAGTATGCATAACAAGAATTTGGTGGTCTTTTCCCACTGGTTGGTTGTGTATACGGACCTATTATGTACATCGCTCCCCTCTCATCTATCTATCTCTTCCCCTTTCACTCACTTTCTCTACGTTTATCTCAATCTTCTCCCTCCCCACCTCTCTGTCTTTCTTTTCTTTTTTTTTTGTTTTTTTGGCTTCTTCTCTCTCTCTTCTCTCTCTCTCATCTCTCTCTCTCTACTCTCTCTTTCTCTCTCTCTCTCTCTCTCTCTCCTACTTCACACACCACACACATACCCAACGCATACACTCACAACCACATACTTACAGTACTTATTCCCTCTCTTCTGGATATCGACGCTAAATGCGGCAAACCAACCTACCAGCAAACTACAACAGAACAGAACAAACAAAACAAAACCGCTCAACATGAAGTTTACTACCATCACATTGCTTCTATGGAGGATTATAAACAGCACAGCAAAGTTCTATTTATTTTATTTTTTTCCTCTCTCTCTCTCTTTCAGTCTCTCTCTCTCTCTCTTTATATCTCTCTATCTTTTTCTATCTCTCTTTCTTTCTCCCGTCTTTCTCTCTCTCTCTCTCTCTCTCTCTCTCACTTGTTATCTCTTCTCTCTGCTCTCTCTCTCTCTCTCTCTCTCTCTCTCTCTCCCTTCCCTCCCTGCTCTCTCTTCTCTCTCTCTCCTCTCTCTCTCTCTCTCTCTCTTCTCTCTGCTCTTCTCCATCTCTCTCTCTCTCTCTCTCTCTCAATCTCACTCTCTCAGTCGTCTCTCTCCTCTCTCTCCCTCGCCCCCCCCCCCTCTCCTCTCCCCCCCTACCTCCTCTCTCTCCTTTTTTTTCAGGTCTCTCCCTCTCTCTCCCTCCCTCTCTCTCTCTCTCGTTCTCTTCCATCCCTTCTCAGTGAATCGGTAACGTGGCTCTAACTTCTCACTGTAGATCTCTGCTCTTTCAGTGCTATCTATCTTCGTTCTCATATCACAGATCCCCTCGCTGCACCTCCATCGCCTCCCTCTCTCTCTTCTCTCCCACCCATCCATTCTTTCAAGTCTTCTCACAGGAGGTCGCCGCCTGAAAACAACAAGACAGTTTGTGAAGCATGCAACAGCTTTCAAGGTTATTCTGTTGTCTAGAGTGGATTCAAGAAACTTCATAACAAATGATAAGGAGAGTAGAGCTGGTGATGGAGTGATGAGAGAAGGGGGAAGGGGGGGTTGGGGTAGGTGGGGGGATTTAAAGAAGGGTGGGGGTGGGGGATGGCGGGTAGGGGGGATTAAAGAGGGGTGGGAGGAAGGGTTGGGTAGGGGACGAGGATTAAAGAGAGTGGGGTAGGGGGGATTTAAGAGGGGTGGGGGACAGAGGGGGGGGAGGAAAATGCGAGCACAAGCGAGTAACGGACCATATACACAGACATAGACGTAGAGCAGACACACATACAAACATTTGACACCACACCATACATAGCACACAGACACACATAGGCACACATACACAGACACAACACCTACTAGACACACAGAACACACATAGTCACACATACAACAGACGCAGAAACACACCGCTTAGTATAGACAAACAGGACACACACATAGTACCACACAATACACAGAACACACACACATACATAGACACACAGACACACTAGGTGCACATACACAGACGCAGACAACACAATACTAGCTCACAAGATACACATAGGCCACACATACAACAACAGTAACAAATACAAGCACAAAAATACATTCATAACTGAACAAAGTATAAATTCACGATCATCTTACACGCATATTAAAAATAAATAAATAAATAAACACAAAATAATAACAAAATAATAATAAATACAACAACAACAACAACGAATAATAATGATAATAATAATGATAATGGGATAATAATCATTTTTCCCACAGCACACACAAACAACACAACACACAACACTCACACATTTGCCCACATTACACACACACACACACACACAAGATTATAAGCGTCCCACACCAAACACACAACACAAACACGTCCACAGCAAACACACACAGTGTTCACAACACGTCCAACACCAAACACATCAGCATCACACACACACACTCACAGGCACACACACAAAACACGTCCACACCAACACAACACACACACACCACTCAACTGCACAAACACACAACACAGTCACATCCACCAAACACCCACACACAAACACGTCCACCCTGTCTTACCAACACACACAGCAAACACGTCACACCAAACAACACACACCCACACCGCACAATCCAAAACAGCGTTCCACACCAAACACAGCACGACACACACACATCTTCAAACAAACACGTCCACACCAAAACACACCACACCACAAACACACAACAAAACACAACACACCCACCACTCACAACCCACAATCCACACCCCACAATCCACACCAAAACACACATCCACAACCACAGCGACACACAAACACACGCCACACTCACACCCTACGAATTCTACAACAACCAAAACCCCACCCGACACAGAAGTAAGTCCGGAAACGCAGGGTGTGTGTCGCCCTCCTCGCTTTGGCCAAGCCATGCATGGTTAAGCCCAGTGGTATTTTTTTTTTTTTTTTTTGGCTTCTTTCCCCCCTCTCTCTCTCTCTGTCTCTCTGTCTGTCTGGTCCCTCTGTCTCTCTCTCTCTGCTCTTCCCTCTCCCTCCCTCGCATCCTCTCCCTCCCTGCCCTCTCTCTCTCTTCTCTCTCTCCCTCATCTTCTCTCTCTCTCGTTCGTCTCCTCTCTCTCCTCTGTCTCTCTCCCTCTCTCCTGCTCTCCCTCCGTCGCCTCCCT